GATTTAGTTCAAATGTCATCTCTTCAACAAATAACTTTTCTGATCTCCCCCCAGCCAAAAAAGAACTAATTTTCCTATGCAATTATCATATCCAAATTTATATTGTTTACATATTGTATCTCTTAAGTAGACTGAAAGCTACTGAGAGTCAGGAACCAACCCTGACTTAGTGATTTATGTCCCTCCAAATAACACTGCACATAATGGTTCAGTGTTTATTGAATAAAAATATTACACTGTTTCACACCAAAACCAAGATTGTTCTGTCCTTGAAAACATGATCTTATAAATCTTCACAGCAGGAAGATTCGCTGCTCGTTGAATTAAATGATCATTTTCCTCTTTACCAAGAACCACACATCCTACTAAAACATGTACTCATATTCTTTGGGGCACCTTGCACTTAGCAGAATCTCAAACATTTGATTTTCTCTTCTCCAGTCCCACCAAATCATGTAAAGTATCCCAGAGCCACTCATACTTCACACCAACCTCTCCATTCTCATATCCAGCTCCTCTCCAGCCATCCCTTTAAAAATTCACTCCCTTTGAGTCCTGACACTCTCATATATACATTTACATGAGACCCAGGATCATAATGTATGGTCATGTATACCCATCAATCCACTTCTCCAAAATCTACTTTTCAGTTCATCTAACATGTACTTAATTAGCTTCACTTCTATTGAGCCTTCCAAAAGATAAAGTCCCAACAAAGACACAAAATGTTACTGAGGTAGATTGCCTGCAAATATGTCTGTGGACACTTCCTCACATCCCTGTAATTGCATGCACGTTCTCTGATCCAAAAATGGAGTGCATTTCCACATAGCCTTGAATCTGCGCTGGCCTGTGACTTACTTTGACTGGTAGAATGCAGCACAAGTGACAACATGTCACTCCTTGGCCTGTGTCTATCAAACCTTGCAACTTCCATTTTTGCCCTCTGGAGTCAAGCCTCCATGTAAAGAAGTTTAGGTTAGCTAGACTACTGAATAATGAAATCACGTGGAAAAAAATCTCAGCCACTCCAATTGAGGCACCAGACATGTGAGTGAAGACATCTTGGACATTCTTGCTTCAACCAAGCTCCCAGCTGAATGCAACCACATGGTTGACCCCCGCCAACACCAAATGGAGCATAACCGCCCTGCTGAGCCCAGATAACCCAGAGAATATGAGTTCATAATTTGTTGTTTTCAGTCACTAAGTTTGGGGATGGAGTATTATGTAACAATAGATTATCAAAACTGATAGTTTTAAAGGATTTGGATCAAATAAGAGACCTAATCACCCTAATTCCTTTACCTTCAAATCTCAGTTTATATCTATAACTAATTCACTTTCTTTAGTTTGCAATACTTTTACTGAAAAGTTAATTTAAAAAACCTATTTCCATTCATTTCTTCACGTTTTTCTAATTCTTGGCAACTACACACACTCCAGAGGAGTGTCATTACCATTTACATTGCCAAACTCTGTACTGTTTTACATGCATAATTTCATTTATTCTTCACATAACCCTATGAGGAAAGTATTGTATTGTTCTTAATTGACAGGCTAAAAAAACTAAGGCTCAGAAATTACCTACTTTGCCTAGGGTCAAATAGAGTGGTATAGCTTGAGTTTAAACCCAGACCTGTCTGACTCCAAAGGACGTTTTTAATCAACAGTCTACACTATACTAGAGACTCATAATCAACCTGAAAAACCCTCCCAAGAAACACAAATAGCACTTTTAACCCACATAAAAGATTTCTTTAAAAGCAATATGTCAAATACTTTCCTTTTGCCCATTTCTTTTTTTTTTTTTTTTTTCCATGCCTTGTGGCATGCGGGATCTCAGTTCCCCAACCAGGGATCGAATCTGTGCCCCTTGCATTGGGACCGCAGAGTCTTAACCACTAGACCACCAGGGAAGCCCCTCAAATACTTTCCCTACTTCACTCTGCAAATATTTATTGAGAGCCTTACATAGGCTAGGCTCTGGAGACACTGAATTTAACTCTAATCAATACACAATTCTAAAATTGTAGCAACATTTTTCTCCTCTCAGTCGAGTAATGTCAAACTTATTTAACTTGATTTATGGCCAAGCAAATCATTAAGAGGTGAAAAAGCAGACAGTGTCATTATAGCTAGACCTACCCAGCCATCTCCCAACACATTCTATATTCCCTCACCGTGCACCACGGATCACTCTTCTCTTCCCCACTTGAAATGTTCTACTTCTTTCTCTGCTTACTGAAATCCAACCTCTTCTATGAAGCCTCTTCTGATTAAGCCAAACACACTCTCTTATCTAGGTTATTTATCACCCGCATCAGTGGTTTCCAAACACAGCTAATTAAAATCACCTGGCTTTTAAAATTAGAACTACTTAAAATTAGAGGAGTCATACTTTGAGAAAACAAAAGCAAAAGCCTGGAAACAATCTAAATGTCTATCAAAATGGAACTGGTTAAATCATTATGGTATATAACGTAAGGATAGAAAACCATACCTAAGCTACATTAAGTGAAAATGTAACTTAGTGTGCATGGAATCCTACTTTTTTAATAAAGAAGACAGATAGATAGATAATATAAGCTTGTACGTGCACACTATATATCCAGAAAGATTAAAAAGAATCTCATAAGAGTGGTTGCCTCAAGGAGCACAAAAAGCAACCTGTGAGAAAACTTTTCATCTCATTACTCTTTTTTTTTTGGCTGCGTTCAGTCTTTATTGCCGCACAGGCTTTCTCTAGTTATGGCAAGTGGGGGTCCTCTTTGTTGCAGTGTGCAGGCTTCTCACCGTGGTGGCTTCTCTTGTTGCGGAGCACGGGCTCTAGGCACGCGGGCTTCAGTAGTTGTGGTCCGTGGGCTCTAAAGCGCAGGCTCAGTAGTTGTGGTGCACGGGCTTAGCTGCTCCACAGCATGTGGGATCCTCCCAGACCAGGGCTCGAACCCGTGTCCCCTGTATTGGCAGGTGGATTCTTAACCACTGCGCCACCAGGGAAGTCCCTGATTACTCTTAATTTGAAATGTCTATATATCCTATATGGATGTCCATATGTCCTATATGGATGGATACATTTTTTAAAAATTATTAAAAAAAAAAACAAAACACCCACATAGACCCACAAGACTCAGCTCAGCTCTACAGATCACAAATCTTTGGGGGCAGGGACTAGACTTTCTAAATTGTTAAACTACCCAGAGATTCTGATGATCAATCAGGCTTAGGAACCACTCAAGCAAACCACTCATATGGTACTTAATGCCTCATATTAAAGTGTACATGTGAGACTATAACTTTATACACATAACTAGAAAAGCATGGGGGGAGGATATATTACATTTTGGCTTTCCTACAGTTCTCAGCTCAGAAAAGGTACTCAATAAATATTTTTTGACAAGATTAGTGCAGAAGTATAATTCCATTTTTCTATTATACTTCATTTCAGTGCGGAAGGGTTTTAGAAAATACATTTAACATGATGGCACTGTGGAGTAGTTTAAAATTACCACTTTCAATACATGAAGGGCCAAACATCAACAGATGCCAACAATAATTTTTTAGTTTTTAAACACCATAGGTATGGCTAGACTGCAAAGGGCAAGCGGTGAAGTCCAAACCTAAGACTATAAGACTTAGGGATGAGTTCCACTTCCTAGTCGCATGAATGAGTAAAAGTAGCATCTAGAGGAAAATAAAGATGTGGATAACAGATTTCAAAGAAGTCCCATTTTATTCCTGAGTGCATACAAATCCCTTTCCTCATAAGGAAAAGTACTTTCCCTTTCTCTTGGGTGATAGATACACCTCTTCCACAGTTCCAAGCATTCTCTTCTACCGGTACTTTCCACGTCGGTTAAAGCATTTGTAGAGATAGCTGATGCGTTTGTTCAGGTTGTGCAGGTCATCAATGAACATCCGATTTCCAACCATTCTCTTCTTTCGGATACAACGCTGCAATTCATTCCCCTTCCAGCCTCGAAGCCATATGGGGCCCTTGATCAGTTCTTTGGGGTGCTTTTCAAAGTTTCCTGTGTAATGTGAAAGAAGGTATTAGTTCCAAGAGGAGAGAACCCAGCCTCCACCAGCTAAGCCTTCAACACGGTTGCATCTCCCTAGCAGCACCTAGAGACAAAACACATTACGCTAGGGTAACAAGAGCACAGGCTCTGGAGCAAGACTGCTTGGGGTTCAAATTCTGGACCTGCCATTTACTAGCTTTGGAAAAACTACTTAACCTCCCTGTGCCTCAGATTCCTCACCTGCAAAGTGAAAAGGTTATGAGGATTAAATGTGTTAATGCATGCGGGGCACACAGAACAGTGCCGAACACAACGTAAATAGCCACGTGTTTGTTCTTACTATTGAAGAAGGTACCATTTCTACACAGGTGAAAAAAGATAATCATTACGGCATAACTGCCGCTCTGAAATTCTGCACTACCGAGTCGAGTCTTACCCAGGATCCCGATGTTGTCATATACCCCGAACATGGCCCTCTTCTCGTTCCAACGATCAACCACTTTGCGGGGCGGGAGGGTGACCCTCACATGGAACAATCTGGGAACACCTAGGGATGGGGAAGAAAAGGAATGAATCTGAGCCGCTTACTTTGAAGTAGTTCTCGGGGCGTCCTTCTGCATCAGCCACTTACCCAGAGAGAAGCTTCTGCAGGCCAGCGGCACCTGGCCCCATAGGCTCCTGCCTACCACCCAAGAGAGGCTCCCTGCCATTGCTCTCATCACTCCCCTACAACAGCCCACCTCACAAGCACAGGAGGGAGGGCCAGACGTGGCCTTCAAGGAGAGAACAAGAACCGTCCCCGCCTGGCTCACAAGGATACTACGTGCACGCAGCCATCTTGGGCTTTACGCAGGCAGCTCCGGGTGAGACCCAGCCTGGCCCCGCCTTCCCCAGCCACGAGCCCCGCCCTCCAGGTTCCGTTGCAGAAGGTCTTTGACGCCCCGCCCAGCCGAGGCGCTTCCGGTCTGCCCGCCGGAAGGTTTGGAGCTCCGGAAGAGCTGAGGGACTCGTGTCGTTGCCTAGGGCCCTCCAAAGCTGAAGGTCAAACAAATTCACCCTTTCCTGTTTCCGTGGGCGTCCCTCAACTGAGCGAGAGGAAGGTCCAGAACCTGGAACCCAGAGCTTCCTTTCTCTGTGCCCCACAGCAGTTTTGCGCTGTAGCTGTTTTTATTTCCCCTATTCGACAGGGGAGGAAATCTGAGGCTGAGGGAGTGAAGTGACCTGCTGGACGTCATAAGGCAGAGGACATGGCGGAACCTGGACTAGAGCCTAAGCCTTCTAACTGCCGGCCTGAACTTGCCTCCTGTCTTGGGGGTGACGGAGTGGGTCACGGTCCCAGGGGCACGGCCACTGCCCAGCTACAAACGCGGCATCTCCAGCAGGCACCGCCAGAGCTTCCTCTCCACCGACCGCCAAAAAAGAAGACTCTTTGGGGAAAGAGGCGGCCGCGAGACTAGGGGGGGGGGGGGGGGGGGGGGAGCAGGAATCTAGGCCCCGCCCTCCTCGGGCCTTCCGGCTCCTGCGCTCTGATTGGCCGGTGTCTGCAGCGAGCGTCGCGATTGGCTCCCTTGCGGCCGTTGAGATTTGAACTGCACTTTTGTGGCTTTGCCCGCGCGGCGCCCGGCTCGGAGGCGGGGTTTTGCCTCCGCCTGGCGGGTATTGGTCGGTCTCTCTACCCACGGGAGTGCCGCGTCGCAGATTGGTGCGTCTTGTGCCCTCCTTGGTTTTTCCTTCGTTTCAGCCCTACGTCCCGAGTTGGAGGAACGGCTGGCGAAGTGCTCTTGTAAGGTGCGGTGTTGAGGGGGAGCGGGGAAGGAGAGGCCGGGAAAATCGGCCACCGGGCTGTAGGACGCGGTATTGGGCTGGGAGGTCTAGTGGGTGTGTCCTTGTGGTACGACGTGGTAGAAACAGTAAGTCTCACAGATCCGCAGTGGAATTTGGGCAAATCGCTTAACCTTTCTTAGTCTCAGTTTCCTCATCTGTAAATTGAGCTATATTACCATGCACTTCATGAGATTGGCATTTGGAGACTTAGATCAGATAGGACGTTCAAATAGCCGAATAGAACCTGGCACAGAGTAAACAAATAGTTAATATTCACGTTCTCTCATTCTGGAGACAGGAAGCCCATTAGCCCATACTGGATCACCGTTCTGACCTCAGATGAGGCAGTGTCTATATACTTAAGAAGTTTTGCCTATAAAAACAGAAATAACAATGCTAACTTAACGCATCGATATGCCACTTTACAGTTCTTTAAATACTTTAATACCCCTTGACTCATTTGATCCTGAGAAATTTGGTAAAGTAATTAGAGATCAGTAATCCTGCTTGACAGATGGAGCTCAGGGGGTTAAGTGACATGGCCAAGTGTCAGAGTCACAACTAGAATTAGATTCTAGTCCAGGCTTAATCTCACACGCTCTAAGATAATATTATTAGCTTGATGTAAGACTAAAAAGTGTTATGTATTGGAGGAGGGGAATAATAGAGCCAGATTAAAAAGACGACCCTTAGATACAGACCCTGATGTGTTTGCTGTTTGGCTTCTAGCCCTGTGAGCCACTGGGGGAAAGATGTCTCCCCAACTGTATGAGTTCCATCTGCCCTTATCCCCAGAGGAGTTGTTGAAAAGTGGAGGGGTGAATCAGTATGTCGTGCAAGAGGTACTGTCCATCAGACATCTTCCATCGCACCTTAAAGGTAAGACTCCGTAGCTGCCACTGTGCCTAGCACTTCAGAACAACCACCCACATGTGATTATATTGTGTCTGTCTGTTCCACTACACCACTAAGCTCCATGGGGGCACGGAACATGTCTTTCCTATTCCTTACTGTTTTCTCCCTAGCGTTGCATTACACGAAGAGTATGTTCATTGACCATCTTCTCTAGGTTATTCAATAAACAGTCTTGGTGTGTATGGTTAGTCTTTGGGGAGAATTTTATTTTAGATCCTGACTTCTTACCATATGCCAAAATAAAGTACTGGTGGTTTTAAGAGTTGTAGGAGAAGATAGCTCCTAGAATGTCTGGGACTTGACCTGACCTGTTTCAGGTAATACTTTTTTAGAGTCTAGATCACATTTCCAAGAGTGCAATAATGGAAAAAAGCATATGTGCACAGTTGCAACACTGTACAATATATGTACAGTGCAGTTGCCCATTGAAACCTAGAGATGACCGAGAACAATTCATGCATTATCAACAAGACCCCATCCATAATGTCACTGTACTTCTTGGAAGGGTCTTGTGTCAGTTAGATTGCTTTGGAGAGTTATAGAGAGTAGAGATTAAGGCTGTGGAGCCAGGCTGCCCGGATTTGAATCCTGCCTCCACTACTCTGACCTTGGACAGTTACTGATTCTCTCTGTGCCTTGGTTTCCTCATCTGGATAGTAACCTACTTTGTTTGTTATCTCCTACAACAAGTAAGTTTCATTAATTATCAGGCACTTTGATAATATAATTTCAGCTTGTTTCTTCTTGGCCTTCCCATCATTGTTGCCAGATGACAGCTCCTTGCTCTGATGTGCAGAAGTAGAAGAAGGGATTTTTCTATCTTGTGCTTTTTCTTCTTTCTTGTTTTAAAACTACCAGAAGTCTTATAACAGACTTAGCCAGAATTGGATCAGGTGCCTATTTCCCTAACTACTGGTAGGGGAAATGGAATTATCCAGATTGGCTAAATTGATCAAGATCATTACCTAGGCTTCCCTAAACCCGAACATATCACCATTTGGTAAGCAAGGAAGAGAACAGAGTGTGGAGTTGACTGATGGGTGTCCACAGAGAGACCATTCTCTCCATATTGTGTGGATCTGTGCATCGCCAATGGCACAAGCTGCACACTCTAGCAAACTGTTCTTCAGCTGTTATTATGCATCGCTTTGTTACATGAGTGCTCGTTCCTTTTAAGAGTCCTTTTTAGGGCTTCCCTGGTGGCGCAGTGGTTGGGAGTCCGCCTGCCGATGCAGGGGACACGGGTTCGTGCCCCGGTCTGGGAGGATCCCATGTGCCACGGAGCGGCTGGGCCCGTGAGCCGTGGCCGCTGGGCCTGTGCGTCCGGAGCCTGTGCTCCGCGACGGGAGAGGCCACAGCAGTGAGAGGCCCGCATACCGCAAAAAAAAAAAGAGTCCTTTTTATAACAATTGCATTGCTTTTGGTATTTAGAACCCTAAATACAAGTTCTACTATAAATACACAAGATCAGGTCATTTACTTTGTTCAAGTATTTACTGGTGTTATGCTATGTGCCAGGCAGTGTTCTAGGCACTGGGGATACAACAGTAAATAAAGCAGCCAAGGTGACAAAGTTCTTTCTCTCAAGGCTTTCAACAAGTAATAAATAAATATGGAGTATGTCAGATGGTTGTAAATGCCAAGGAGAAAAATAAAGCAAGATAAAAAAGATTACGGTGAGCCAGGTTATGGACGAGCATTTTATGTTGGATGATCAGAGAAGGCTTGCTGATAGATGACATATGAGCAGAGACCATACAAGTGAGGAAGTTACCTATGCAGATTCTCAAGGAAGGGCATTGTAAGCAGACAGGAAAGCCAGTGCTGAGGCCCTGAGGTGGGGAAGTGTCAATGTGGTTGGAGGGGAGAACTCTAGGAAAAGAGAGGTCAGGTGGGAAGTGGTACAGATTATTCTAGAGTCTTGCTCTTCAGAGTGGTCTTCAGACCAGGAGCGTTAATTAGTATCATGATTTAGGAGCTTATTAGAAATGCAGGAGGAAGACCTATCCTCAAACTACTGAATCAGAAATCCATTTCTTAAGAAGATCCCCAGGTAATTTGTATGTACATTTCAGTTGGAGAAGCACTGATCTAGGGTGTTGTGGGTCATGGTAAAGACTTTAGCTTCAGAGAGAGTGAGCTTGAAAGCCATTGTGTTTTGAGCACAGGAGTGACATGGTCTGACATTTAAAAAGTATATCTGCTGTGTTGAGCAGGGACTGTAAGGGGGAAGGGAAGAAGCAGGGGACTAATTAAGAGGCTAATATAATAATACCAGGCAGCTTACCTGGGGTGATAGCGGTGGAGGTGATCATAAAAGGTTAGATCCTGAGTGAATTTTGAAAGTAGAGCCAACAGGATTGTTGATGGACTGGATTGGACTTACAGGGTTCAAGAAAGAAGAATTGAGGATGATTATAAATAAGGCTTTTTGACTTGAGCAACTAGAAGAATGGAGTTGTCATTTACTGAGATGGGTAGAGTATGAGAGGAGCACGTTTAGACTGTTGGTTATATGATTGTGGAGTTCAGGGGAGAGGTTCCAGCTAACGATACACATTTGGGATTTAATATTCAGCATGTAGAGAGTGTTTAAAGCTGTGAGATTGGAGTAAGTATTGATGGAGAAGAAAAGCAGTTTCAAGACATAAGACCTAAGACAGTCCAACATTTAGAGGCTGGGAAAATGAGAGAGAACCAGTAGAAGAAACTAAGGACTAGTTGTTGAGGCAGAAAGTGAGCAAAGACGCTAAATTAAGAGAAGTTTCAAAAGGGAAAGGAGAGATCAGCTACACATTTAATTGCTGGACTTAGCAATGTGGCAATGGCTGGTAACCTTGAACACTATTTCAGAGCCGTGGGAATGAAGCCTGATTGGAATAGTTTATGAGAAAATGGGAAGAGAGAGGTTAGAGATGATGAGTTTAGATAACCCTTTCTTGTTGTTTTGCTTTAAGGAGTAGCAGAGAAATAGGGCGTAGCTGGAGGGGGAGGCAGAGTCAAGGAAGGACTTTTTTTTTTTTTAAGATGGGCAACATCACATGTGTATGTGCTGAATGGGAATAATCAGAGAGGGGGAAAGCTGACGCTCCAGAGGGAGAGTGAATGAGTGTTGGGAGCAGTATCCTTTAAGGAGTCAGAGTAAGCGATCTGGTGCTGGGGGAGGAGGTGGGTTATTAGAGCATGGACACTTTATCCACAGCAGCAAAAAAAAAGGCAGAGCTTAGGGCACAGGTGCAGGTCGTGCTGATAAATACAGACCTTGGCGCAGTTGGAGTTTCTCTTCTGTCTGATTCAGTTTTCTCAGTGAGATAGGAAGTGACGCCTTTAACTGAAGGGGAGTTGGGGGAAAATGATCTTGATGTTATGAACAGAGGAAAGGTGTGAAATAATTGCCTAGAAGAAAGCAAATAGGCCTGGGAACTTGTTATAGGCTTACTAAGAAATACTAAGGGCCTACTTGAGGTCATAAAGTGAGAATAGTTGGTATGGTTTTATGTTTTTTTGAGCCACTTTTATTTGTGTAGTTACATGAATGGAGTAATCAGTCAGTGGGATATAATCCAGATTTACAAGGGGAGTAAATGTGTTAATAATTAGTGGAAAAAATTAGAAATATCATAATGTCTAATGATAGAGGAACAGTAAGTTAATTGAGGTACATTCAGTGGAATGTTATGCAGTCATTAAAGACAAAGGTTTTTTTAATATCCTTATTGTAATATTAAGTTTTAAAAAACGGAACAGAGAGTTGAATATGTGACATGACCTCAACAATAGAAATAGTATGCATAGAAAATAAACTGAAAAAAATTAGCCAGATGTTAACAGTGTTTATTTCTTTCTCATTTTCATTTTACCGTATTTTCCAGATTACAGAAGGAGGTTTGTAAGAGTGGGAGATAGCTTTCAAGTACTGAGTTACATTATGTGCTAAGTATTGTCCTGACTGTTTCATGTGGATTATCTCACTTAATCTTTACCAAAAAGTTCTGAAAAGCCCTATGAGGTATGATCTGTTATTATTCCCAGTTTACAAAAGAGGAAACTGAGACTTGGTAAGCTAAGTAGCTTAGCCTAGTAAATGTTCAAGCCACATGTAAACCTAAGCAGGGTGACTGGACTAGATCAGCAGGTGATGCTTCGGAGAAGTAAAGAGGGATGGGAATGGAGAGAATCATTGGATGTAATAAAAAATAGGTAATGGGTAATCTTTGAGAGAATAGCTGTTAGATTGGTAAATCTCAGAAACTAGGTTTCAGGGAATTGAGAAAGATTACACAAAATTTTAAAGGGATATGAGAGCAAAGTCATAAATGAAAGGCACTGATCGTTTTTGGTTTGTTTGTTTTAAAGAAGTAGGGGCCTAAGCACATTGTCAGGAAAAGAGCATTCCCTAGAGAGGATGAAGCCAGAGGTGAAAGAAAGGAGACAAGTCTTTGGGGCAGTGAGACAGCTTAGCTTCAGAACAGAAAATCTTTTCACTTGAGACTGAAGCAAAGAATGGGAAGGTGTTGGCAGAATGACTTGTTGACAGAGAGGCAGGATTACATGAGGGAGCTTTGGGTCTCATTCTTTTTGGTAAAGTAGAAAGCAGTCATCTGCTAAAAGAAGAGAGGCAAAGCATAAGAAGAGGTATAAAGAAAGGGGGGAACATGCTATGGGTATAGCGCTAGGGAGTCAATAGGAATTGGAGAAATAAAATAGTTTGTTAAGCATCGCAGAGGACCAGGTTGTAGTTGGACAGCATAACACTGCAATATGATGAATCAGGTCAGTGAGCCAGCAGTGATAATGTAGTACAAGGTTCAAGCTTGCTTTCTAGGCAAACCCATTTCTTACTGCAGAAAAGAAGAATTTGGTGGAATTCTTTCCCTCCACATCCACAGAAAGAACTAGATATACACCTTGGTTCAAAAGTTAACTCCCGGGATTTCCCTGGTGGCGCAGTGGTTAAGAATCCACCTGACAATGCAGGCGACACAGGTTCGAGCCCTGGTCCGGGAAGATCCCACATGCCGCGGAGCAACTAAGCCTGTGCATCACAACTACTGAGCCTGCGCTCTAGAGGCCACACATCACAACTACTGAAGCCCCCCTGCCCTAGAGCTCACGCACCGCAACTACTGAGCCCATGCACCACAACTACTGAAGCCCACGCACTCTAGGACCCATGTACCACAACTACTGAGCCTGCATGCTGCAGTTACTGAGCCCACGTGCTACAGCTACTGAGCCCATGCTCCTAGAGCCTCTGCTCCACAACAAGAGAAGCCAACAATGAGGAGCCCGCATACCACAATGAAGAGTGGCCCCCACTCACTGCAGTTAGAAAAAGCCCACACGCAGCAACAAAGACCCAACGCAGCCAGGAAAAAAAAAAAATTAACTCCCATACTGCCTTGCTACTCTTGCATGTTGTAAGTCATAATTAGGTGCTACTCCCTTTTTTTTTTTTTTTTTTTTTTTTCTTTTTGCGGTACACGGGCCTCTCACTGCTCTGGCCTCTCCTGTTGCAGAGCACAGGCTCCGGACGTGCAGGCTGAGTGGCCATGGCTCACGGGCCCAGCCGCTCCGCGGCATGTGGGATCTTCCCGGACCGGGGCACGAACCCGTTTCCCCTGCATCAGCAGGCGGATTCTCAACCACTGCGCCACCAGGGAAGCTCTGCTACTCCCTTTTATACTGAAGTTTTTATATAGAAGCAGTACAGTGAAGATGAAAAGAGCACTGAGTTTGAGAGTCAAAAGATGCTGGGTTTTCAGGGAGTTCCCTGGTGGCCTAGTGGTTAGGATTTCAGGCTTTCACTGCTGTGGCCCAGGTTCAGTCCCTGGTCGGGGAACTGCAGCCCCCCCCAAAAAAAACAAATGCTGGATTTTTTAAATGTAACAGAAATACAGATGTCCCCCAGCTTATGATGGTTCAACTTATGATTTTTCAGCTTTATGATGGTGCAAAAGCAATATGTATTCAGTAGAAACCATGTTTCGAATGTTGAATTTTTATCTCTTCCTGGGTTAGCAGCATGTAGTAGGATACTCTTCTCATGATGCTGGGCAGCAAGCGCAGCTCCCAACCCACACACTTAGAGCCATCCTGTACCCAGACAGCCATTCTGCTTTTCACTTTCAGTACAGTGTTCAATAAATTACGAGAAATATTCAACACTTTATTATAAAATGGGCTTTGTAGTAGATGATTTTGCTCAACTGTAGGCTAATGTATGCTTAAGGTAGGCTAGGCTAAGCTATGATATTCAGTGGGTTAGGTGTATTAAATTTTTGAGTTACAGTGTTTTCAACTTACAGGGGATTTTTCAAGATGTAACCCCATCATAAATCAAGGAAAATCTGTGGTAACATGAACCTAAGTGTGTTACAGATGTTTGACCTAATCGCACTAAAGGATTGCAGGAGAACATAACTAACAAGCAACCAGGAGACCCAGTATTTTGGGTCTTTTGTTTGGCTGCGCTGTGTGGCATGCGGCGTCTTGCCCAACCAGGGATCGAACCCGTGCACCCTGCGGCGGAAGTGCGGAGTCTTAACCACTGGACTGCCAGGGAAGTCCAGCATTTTGACTGTAAACTCTGTATGAAAGAACTTTACACGATTAGCATAAGGTAGTTAGTAAATTTATTTTTTAAAGGGGTGTGGGTTAGCAATTCTGAAACTGTATTATGTGTATACTAGGATCAAGCAAATATATAAGTGAATTTATGTTTTTAATATATACACAGATAAAAATATAGGGGTGTGTGCATTTATACCTACATATATGTATATCCTGCTTTTCTCTACTGACAGGGCCTAAAAGCTCCAACAGCAGTGATTTTAACTAGGGCCTAGAACTTGGTTTCTACATACCATTCTCTCATAAAAGAAACCGGACTCCAGTGAGAATGGTTGATTCCAGGACTGAGCCAAGGAAGGTACAAGACGAGCCTGGAACATCTTGTGGTACAAGAAAGTAAGAGAACAAGAGTGAAGGGAGCATGTCAGAGACACAGGCCAAGTTGAAGGAGCTCCCAGTGGTCAAGTATGGGACAGTCTGAGCAACAAAATTAATAATAAGAAGAATGATTAAAACACAGAATAAAAGAAACGTTCATGAGCCCATTCTGTTATAAACAAATAATTGGATACATAAATGAAGGGAAAGTAACAGCTCATCTTAGCCTGGCATTCCCATTAAGTAAGCATAAAAGGAATGATAGAAACAGACAAATCACCATTTAGTAAAAGTAATAATTGTGGCAGGCAAGAATCATCCATAGATGCTTAAATAAGTGGGCAGAATGTGGTGAGAAACAGGATTTTCAAAGTATCTCCCCACAAGATACTTACTGGTTGCAAAGGGGAAAATAGTAACTTTGTAGCGGAGACGCCCAGGCAAACACTACCAACTGATCAAAGTTAATATCGCTATAGTAATAAGACATTGACATCACCTCCTTCTGGGTTTGATGCATCTGGAAGGACCCATCCTCCCTTTCTCAGTGATCTAGCCAAAAGTGCATGACCTCAATCTAATCATGAGAAAATAGCAGACAAACCCAAAGTGAGGAACATTCTACAGAATAACTGGCAAATACACTTCAAGTGTCAAGATCATGAAAGACAAAGATTGGAGGAGACTAAGGAGGTATGACAAATCAATGCATTGTGGTATCCTAGGTTGGCTCCTGGTCTGGGAAAAGGACAAAAATAGAACAGCTGGCAAAATTCAAGTAAGATCTGTAGATTAGTTAATAACATTGAATTAATGTTCATTTCTTGGTTTAGAATAGATCCTTGTACTATGGTTATATAAGATGTTACCATTATCTGGGTGAAAAATACAAGAACTCTGTACTGTTTTTGCTACTTTTGTAATTTCAAAATTGGAAAAAAAAAGATCCTGAGTTTATGTTCATTACTCAGTTGGACAAGTCACATAATTTATTTTCCCATAAAATAGGCACAGTACTGTTTGCTTCATCTAGTTCAGAGATGTGGTAATAAAACTCAAGTAAGGCTTTAATTGTAAAACAGGACAAAGTGTCAGATGTTATAATACTAGATTACATTGAAATGAAGTGTCTACTTTTGTGATTCTACCAAGAAAAGCAATTAACTCCATTTTCTGCCATGAGTAGAACTTACCAAAAAGGCCTGTCCCCGGGCTTCCCTGGTGGCGCAGTGGTTGAGAGTCCGCCTGCCGATGCAGGGGACATGGGTTCATGCCCCGGTCCGGGAGGATCCCACATGCCGTGGAGCGGCTGGGCCCGTGAGCCATGGCCGCTGGGCCTGCGCGTCCGGAGCCTGTGCTCCGCAACGGGAGAGGCCACAGCAGTGAGAGGCCCGCGTACAGCAAAAAAAAAAAAAAAAAAAAGGCCTGTCCCTCTGTATTGATCAGTTTCTTTCATCTTTATAGCATTTCAGGCTGCCTTTCGAGCTCAGGGGCCCCTGGCTATGCTGGAGCATTTTGATACCATCTACAGCATTCTGCAGTAAGTACCCTCTGATACTTTAAAAAGAACTGGTGGCTCTTTGCCCTAACTTTGCATGTTAGTCCTGAAATTCCAATTTATAGTTCACTGATAAATGGTTCTGGGTGCTGACATTTCTACTCATGAGCATTTACCCCAGCTTGCCACCATATTTATTCAGTCGAGTAGTTCCACGTGTTTTTTTGTTTTAAGTATTAGATTCCTCAGGTTTGATCTGATCTATTAGAATGGGCTCTGCAGGTTCCTGTCTCACCCCCCGCACTTTCTTTCCCTCATAGTCACTTTCGAAGTATAGACCCTGGCCTCAAGGAAGATACTCTGGAATTCCTGATAAAAGGTGTTTATGGGTCGGGGGTGGGGGATGGAAGGTGTGTGTTGCTGTTTGTTTGTTTACTGTTTCCTGCCACATGATGATATCAAGGCTGTGGTGATTCAGTTGGTTTGGCTAAGCCCAGGGACCTCTGACCTATAGGTCTGTAATCTTGGTGGGCAATACAGAGTTATGTGTGTTCACTGTAAGGGCAGACCAACAATAAATTCTTCCCACTCTTGAACTGCCTCTCTTCAATAGAGGCAGTTCTTCCTGTTGCCAGAGAGAAATTGGGGTAACTGGAGTGAGAGAGTAGGGATAGGGCATGTTCAGGATATCAGGGTCAGGGGTCCCAGAGGACTTAGCTTGTGTTGTAGCCACTGAGAGATGAAACACAGATCTTTGGTAATCTGATGGCTGCAAGTGCTAGGGGTTTTGAAGTTGGGTTGTATGAGGAAAGTGAATGAAACTGACTCCAGATCCTGCCCCTCGCAGTGGTATCTCGCCACACCCAGGAACTTCCCGCCATCTTGGATGATGCAACTTTGAGTGGGTCCGATAGAAGCGCACACCTAAATGCCCTCAAGATGAACTGCTATGCTCTGATATGCCTCTTGGAATCCTTTGAGACCATGGCCAGCCAGAAAAGCCTCATGGACCTGGCCCTTGGTGGGAAGGTAATTTGTTGTTCCTGGCTTACTTAATATGGGATCTGGGGAGATACGGGAATTGGTGGGAAAGATGGAATTCAGTGATTCTGAGAATCTTTTCCTTTCTGCCCTTGACCCATGTTTAAGGTTTATGAGGAGGTACTCAAAAGTATCACAATGTATCTTTTGCTGACAAGCAGCTCTTTTATATTTTGGAACTTGTAATACTTCCGTCTTACCTTCTACCTTGTCTCAATACTGGATAGTTTGGGCACTCAGACTAGCAGATCATGATCCTTTCAGCTTCCTTATTTTTTCTTAAGTATATCCTTTTTTAGGGTAGGAAAGCCCGGGCCAAGGCAACCCATGGCTTTGACTGGGAAGAAGAGAGGCAACCGATTCTTCAGCTTTTAACACAGCTGCTCCAGTTGGACATCCGTCACCTGTGGAGTCACTCAGTAATCGAAGAGGAGTTTGTCAGGTGGGTAGTTGATTGCTATAGGTGATATTGGCTGTGAGAAATGAGGGCTCTGTTGCTAGATATGCTCTATATATATATATATATATATTTACGTGTGTATGTATGTATGAATGAACGACTGCGTTGGGTCTTTGTTGCTGTGCGCGGGCTTTCTTCAGTTGCGGCGAGCAGGGGCTACTCTTCGTTGCGGTGCATGGGCTTCTCATTGTGGTGGCTTCTCTTGCTGCGGAGCACGGGCTCTAGGCATATGGGCTTCAGTAGTTCTGGTGTGTGGGCTCTGTAGTTGTAGTGCGTGGGCTCTAGAACGCAGGCTCAGTAGTTGTGGCACACGGGCTTAGTTGCTCCGCAGCATGTGCGATCTTCCCGGACCAGGGATCGAACCCGTGTCCCCTTCATTGGCAGGTGGATTCTTAACCACTGCACCACTGGGGAAGCCCTAGATATGCTTTTTGTTTTGCTTTGTTGTTTTTCAATTTTTTAACTTTTTATTTTGAGATAATCTCAGATTTACAGAAAAGTTGCAAGAATAGTACAAAGAATCCTCTATACCCTTCAGACTCCTCAAATGTTAACATTTTACCACATTTGCTTTACTAGATATGCCTTTTAAATACTTCATTTCATCCCTCAGTTCTGTCTGTAATACACAGAAGTATTCCCATTACGTTGAATTGTTCAGAAGTAGATAATGAAGATTAGAAACTGCGTTGAATTTCTCATCTTTAATGCCATTTATTCATTCATGAAACAGTATTTACTGAGAATCTCCTAGGTGCATGGCTGGTGTCATTAAAGTCACTGAAAACCAGCGTTTCTGCCCTCTTAGAGTTTATATTTTAGATCAGAAGACAATTTTTTAAATAAGTAAAAATATATAGTACGTCTTATAGTTTATTACTGTGGAGAAAGATAGTGGAGGGAGTGGGAAGTTTGATGGGAAAGTGTTGTAATCTTTATCAGCTGTTCTAGCAAGACCTCTTTGAGATGGTGATATTTGAGCAAAGCCCTCGAAGTAATGAGAGCCATGAGGATATTTGGAGGGAGAGCAAGGGCAAGGGCAGGAAACAGCAAGGACAAGGGAGGGAGTGTGTTGAGCACATATAAGTAATAGCGCTGAGGCCAGAGCTGGCAGCTGAGACAGGGTGAGGGGTAGGCTGTGAGGTCGGGGCAACAGGGAGCCAATTGCAGATCCTCATAGGCCGTCACGGTTTGGCATTTATCAGAGTGAGATGGGGCCCCTCGGGTTCCAAGCAGGGCAGTGAGGTGGTCTGGCTTGTCTTCAACAAGGTCATCCTGGCTGTTGTGTTGAAACAGACTCTGGAGGGAAGGGAGGAAAGCGGGAGACCAGTAAGGAGGCTGTGGCGGTCACTTGGGCAAGAGATGACAGTTGCTTAGGCCCGAGAGGGCGCTGGAGATGGGGAGAAGTGCATGCAGTCTGCACTTGTTCTTTTAAGGAGAGCCTACGGGGTGAGCTGACAGATGCGTGAGGTTTGAGGGAGGGTGTGGTCGAGGGTGACTCACCCAGGGTTTTCGCCTGAGCATTTGGAAGAATGTAGCTGCCAGTAACTGAAATAATGGGGAAGGCTGTGGGAGCGTGTTTGGGGGGACAGTAGAAGTTCTGCTTTGGACATAGAAAGCTGGAGGTGCCTATTAGACATCCAAATAGTGTCAGATTTGGTTGTGGAATGTACAAAGCTGGAGGAAGACAGGAGAGCGGTCTAAGCTAGAGCACACATTTGGGAATATAATGCATTTATATAAATGGTATTTGTAGCCATGCGACTGAATGAGATCACTAAATCAGTAAGCATAGCTAGAAGAGGGCAGAAATCCAAGGACTGTACCTTGGGGCCCTCCAGCATCAGGAGAGTGAGATGAGGAGAAAGAACCAGCTGAAGAAACTGAGAAGGGAGTCTGGCCTCCTGGTACCAAATGAGGCATGTTTCAAGGAGAAAGAAGTGATCAGTTGTGTCAGATGCAGCTGAAAGGTCAACTAAGATGAGGACTGCGTTGGCCATTTAACAATGAGAAGTCAGTGGTGACTTTGTCCTGTCTTTTATCATATATTCAGCTTCTGTAGACATTATAACTGGTTGAAAGTTGGTAATCCAGAAGGAGGAAGTACCTATCTTCCTCCTTTGGGGGTCAGCAAAGCAAAGCAACTTGGTGTGGAAGGCGATAGAATAAAGAAAACTAGAAGACCCTGACTGGGGCAGCAGAGGTGGAATGAATGAGACAAGACCAATGTAGTTGAGTCCAGACCGCTGATGTCACCATCTCTACTCTTCCTTTCTCAGTTTGGTTACTGGCTGCTGCTACCGCCTCCTGGAGAACCCCACCATTAGTCACCAGAAGAACCGCTCCACCCGGGAAGCCATAACACACCTGCTTGGTGTCGCCTTGACACGTTATAACCATATGCTGAGTAAGTTAGCCCTCCGCTTTGCCCCACCCTTTTCATCTTGCCCATGGTTTCTCACGTGTAGCACTTCCACAGGTGCCACTGTGAAGATCATCCAGATGCTGCAGCACTTTGAACACCTGGCATCTGTACTGGTGGCGGCTGTGAGTCTGTGGGCAACTGATTATGGGATGAAGAGCATAGTAGGAGAGATTGTAAGGTGACCCTTCCTTCTCTAATTTCTAATTCTCATTTCCCTCAGGGAGAGTATAAAGATTGGAAATTGCTTCTCTGTGTAACATTAGATTCCTTCAGATATTAGATGCCAACTTTACCTTCCCTTACTGGGACCTGAGTAATTAAGTTATGCTGCTATGGCTGTGTTTATTCCCCTGTGTAGAGAGATTGGACAGAAGTGTCCCCAGGAGTTGAGTCGGGACCCTTCAGGGGCCAAGGGCTTTGCCGCCTTCCTGACAGAACTAGCGGAGCGTGTCCCGGCCACCCTGATGTCCAGTGTGTGCATTCTACTAGATCATCTGGATGGAGAGGTAGGCAGTCCCCTGGGGATCTCAGGGTTTTTTAGGGGTTTTAAGTGCATTGTTGAAAGGCTGTTTCTTAACAAGAAGGAAGCTTTCACTGAAGTCAAGTTGTCTAGGCTAATCACTGTGGCAGTTCCTTCCTATAGAGAAGCAGATGAAGTTTATTGAATTAAATAAAGAGCCACTTATTAATCCTATTTCAGTATCACACTGGTTTCACCCAGGTCTGGAAGGGGAGAGTCTAGTGAGAGTGACTCAGCTGTGATTCTGGTTCCCACCCATTCCTCAGGATGAAGCCCCTTCCTGCCCACCTGGTTCTCAGATCCACCCACATCATCTGTCTTATCCCTCAGTGTTAGCCTGACTGCTTCCCAAGCTGATGCTGGCACTCCTCGGTGAATGTCAGGAACAAAGGCAGTCTGCTTGTTCATCTAATGTACTATAACCTTTTATGCAAGATCCCATTCTCAGGCTCTTGGCCTGGCAAAAACCCCAAACACTGTTCCCCATGATTCTGTAACGGACATGGTTGGCACCAGGGCTGATTTCTGCTTCCCTGTAAGTAAGATGTGGGAAGGGAAGTGTGAGAGAAAGGCGGTGTTTATTAGTAAGGATCAAAGGCTTTGAGGCCTCAGATGAAAGGTAGTAATTAATGCTTTTCAAACATGTGTTGGTGGATGGATGTGATTTCATATTCAGCTGCCACCATGGTTACCTGGGTGAGCCTTGTGGGGAAAAACTGCTCTGGGCTCTTGTTTATTTTGTCCCTACATTCTCCTGACCAGACAAGGCCCTTCTGGGATTCAGCTTTTTCTAGTGACCTCAGGAGTCAATGAATACCTGCTGGGCAGTTGACCAGAGAAAGTCAGAGCTAAGAAAAGCAAGCTTAACCTTGCCTAAAGGCCTTACCCCTTCTTTATGCCTGGATGAGCACAAGAGTTTAGGAAAACGACAGTCAGTATGGGGGTGCAGAGGCTCATACCAGCCTCATATCCCTCTCAGAATTACATGATGCGCAATGCCGTGCTGGCGGCCATGGCGGAGATGGTGCTGCAGGTTCTGAATGGAGATCAGCTGGAGGCGGCAGCCCGAGACACCCGAGACCAGTTCTTGGACACCTTGCAGGCCCACGGCCACGACGTCAGCTCCTTTGTGCGGAGCCGTGTTTTGCAACTCTTTACCCGAATCGTCCAGCAGAAGGTGAGTGTCCTTTGACGTGATAAAGATACACGGTACCCCTCTATGTACAGGCCGAAGAAAAGGAATCCAGGGTCAAAAGAAGAGTAGCTATGTCAAAGAAGAGTCTAGAATTCAGGATTCTACTACCAGTAATAAAGGTCTTCCTCTATCAAGGACAAGGATTCTGGGCTCCATTTAAGGACTACAGTATGTCTTAACCACTACAGACAGTCCTCTTGAGCTATTCACATCCCGTAGAAAAGTTTCCTTAGAATGAGTGGCTAGCTCATGTAGAGTGTTCTTCACGATCATCTTGAGCAGAATGGAAGGTGTGGGGCGGGATCTGATCCTGTCTTTCTGTTCCACGTAGGCTCTGCCCCTGACACGTTTCCAGGCAGTGGTGGCCTTAGCAGTGGGGCGTCTGGCAGACAAGTCGGTGCTGGTTTGTAAAAATGCCATCCAGCTCCTTGCCAGTTTTCTTGCCAATAATCCCTTTTCCTGCAAGGTAAGTAGTCTGGGCCCACCCAAAAGAGAAGGAATTAAATGGAAATAGCAGTGAAATTCCATGACTCAGTGACCCTGATGTTCATTTTTACCTTGGTAGCTTAGTGATACTGACCTTGCTGGACCGCTGCAGAAGGAAACCCAGAAATTACAAGAGATGAGGGCCCAGAGGCGAGCTGCAGCTGCTTGTGAGTAGTTGCTGTGGGGGAGTTCTCACCCCAGACATCCTTCTCCTTGCAGCTGGAAACTCAGTGCAAGAGTCTAAGTGAGACTTTCTCATTCAGCCGCAGTGCTGGACCCAGGGGAGGAGTGGGAAGCCATGCTGCCAGAGTTGAAGGCTACCCTGCAGCAGCTGCTGAAGCTTCCCCAGGAAGGAGAGGGGATGCCCGAGGAGGTTGCCGAAACAGAGACAGCGGAAGAGGTGGAAGGACGCATCCGTCGATTGCTAGCCAAAGCTAGTTACAAGTATGTGAAAGAATGGGATATTCTCTCATGACCTGTCAGGTTTAGAGTTAACTTTTGAGACACAATATATTTTTTTTAATTGAAGTATAATTGATTTACAGTGTTGTGCTAATTTCTGCTTTACAGCAAAGTGACTGTTAATACACATATGTACATTCTTTAACAATGTTTTTTTTAAATGAACTGCACTTAGGGTATGCTGCCATCAGATGGTGGTAGGTGTTTTCATTGCAGTAATAGTCTGAACACCAGATATATGCCAAAGGCAAAGTCTACAATTAAGCATGCTTTTCTGCTTTTACAAATGTTTAAAAAAACTACTAAAACAACTAGACATAAATCGTGTTATAATTAAATATGACCAAAGTCCTGCTTCATTTGAAGAAGACGACCTATAAGTATAATCCTATTTCTATAAAGTAAGTTACTTAAACTTTCTGGGTCTCAGTTTCATTATTTATTTAAAAATAGTTGATTAGGCCATAAGATCTCTAGTGGCTTTTTAATTCCAAAATGTGTGAGCTGATAAATAATAACAAACGTGCTCAATCGTACCTTAATTTTTAAATCAACCTGGTATGAATCCTGATCTTAGAGGAAAGATTTTTGTGACTAGAACTTGAGAGCACCTTGGCAACAAAAGCGTTAGAGCTGTCCACAGGTATTCTTAAACCTCAACCACAAGTCATTAGTTTACTTCCTACCTAACTAGGCTGCTCAGAAAGGCTGAAGAGAGGGTGGCTAGTTGGCTAATTCCCTACGTCTCTCTGGTGTCTCTCTTTGCTGAAGCGTAAAAGGCAGCCTGCTCTGCCTCCAAGCGTGCTAGTGATGAGTTAGGAAAAGGCTCCTTCTCATGTTAAAGATGCCCCTCCTCCCTCAGCAGTCCTCCCGGCCAGTGCTGGGCGGAGTTCTTAACAGCGGAGGTTCTGGCTGCCAGTTACAAATTTAAACGTGTTAGAACGTAACTTTTTAACAGTTTAATAGCAGAGTTTGGGGGGATTTTTTTGGTTTTTTTTTAAGCAGGAAGCTACTTTTTCGTAATTAGACAATATATTCACATCATACAGTATTTAAAATTTGAACAAGGACGTGCCATGAAAAATCCCTTCCAAACCTGCTTTCCAGCCAGTTAGTTCCCTTCCCATAGCGAGCCTCCTTCTAGAGATAATATGTAGTCACACAGTCAGACATATCTACATTTTTTCCCCCTTTTTATACAAGTGACAGAGTTCTCTACCAGTAGGTCTAGGTTCTTGATGGAATCATGACACAGGCTCCCTGACACAAGGCTGCAGTGACACTCTTATGGGTGCCTGATTGGTGACAGGTGATGTTCTGTCAGGCAGGCCATCATTCTCACTCAAGAAGCCATAGGCCACTTCCAGGAATCTGAACCCTTCTGTCATATGGATCCAGAGGAGTCAGAGAAGACTGCGTTCTTGAATCTCTTAGGAACTATCTTCAAAGGTAAATTCCTTTTCCTTCTTCAGTCAGCAAACAAGACACTTCAACTGTATTTATAGACCATTTACTTTCTGTCAGACACTGTCCTGGCTGGCAGCCTGGTGCTGAAAGAGGCCAGAGGGGAGTTAGTGGTGCTTCTGCTCTGGAATGGAAGCAGCCTACGGGCCTAAGATTTAGTCACAGGGTATAAAAGGTTATTTCCAAACTGTAGAGGACTTGAGGAATCTTTTTTGAGAAATGAACCAACATATTTTAGAATAAATTCTAAATTTATACTTTCCTAGTGGGAATTCCCCGGTGGTCCAGTGGTTAGGACTCTGCATTTCCATTGCAGGGGTCACAGGTTCGATCCTTGGTCAGGGAACTAAGATCCCGCAAGTAGCGCAGCACGGCAAAAAAAAAAAAAAAAAAGCTTTCCTATTGTAGAAACAAATATTCAGCGATGTTTAGAACTGTTGGGTTTCCCCGTATACCCTTGAACGAAAACCATCCTGTAATTCTTTAACTCTAGGCCCAGCAGCTCCCACACAGGAGAAGAATCCCCAGGGGGCTGCGGGGAACTTGGGCCCAGGAGAGACTGGCTGCAAAGACAAGCCCAGTGTGTCAGAGCCTGAGAAATGCAGGGAAAACGATGAGCTGGTGAAGCAGGAGATGCTGGTGCAGTATCTGCAGGATGCCTACAGCTTCTCTCTGAAGATCACAGAGGCCATTGGCATCATAAGCAAGATGATGTATGAACACACAACTACAGGTACGCCGGCATCCCCTCTGCAAGGACTGGGTCTTGGAGTTGGAAGAACCAGTCTTGTCCGTACTTTATTGATGTCTGTCCGCTCTTTTGAAAGGCCCGGATTCTTTCTTCAATTTGCTTTGTGTAGCCCTGCGGAGTGTGCATATAGTATTTCACAGGGCATTTAGGGGAGTTGGCATCCTCAGGGAAAAAGGAGGAAGGCCTCCGCTCGCATGTTGCTACATTAAGAAAGGTTCCGCCTTTAAGTATTGGGGGAGTTTTGCCAAGCAGATAGGTGACATTTGTGTCTGTCCTCTCAGTGGTACAGGAGGTGATTGAATTCTTTGTGATGGTATTCCAATTTGGGGTACCCCAGGCCCTGTTCGGGGTGCGCCGCATGCTGCCTCTCATCTGGTCGAAGGAGCCTGGTGTCCGGGAAGCTGTGCTGAACGCCTACCGCCAACTTTACCTCAAACCTAAGGGGGACTCTGCCAGGTAGATGGGCTGTGTTTCGCCTCCTGAAGGAGTTGGGGGGAGTGGGCACCCTTCTTCTAGAGGCGTTCTAGCTCCAGAGGCACTAGGTCTGTAATGGGCTCGGGGTGGGGCTGAACTTACAGTGAAACCCATCCTAAGCAGTTATTTGGTTTGTTTTTCTTTTTATTGAAGTATAGTTGATGTGTACAATATTAAACGTTAGAAGTGTGCAATATAGTAACTCACTCTTTTTAAAGGTTATACTCCATTTAGAGTAATGAAATATTGCCCGTGTACAGTATATCCTTGTAGCTTACTTTATACATAATAGTTTGTACCTCTTAATCTCCTGCCCCTGTATTGTCCCTCCCCCTTCCCTCTCCCCGCTAGTTTGTTCTCTATATCTGTGAGTCTAAAGCAGTTATTTATTATTTGACACTGTGGTGGGATTGCCTAATAACCTGTTTGCCAGGTTCAGCTTCTTGGTCTTTTAATGACCCCTGATCTCTGCTGTTCCCACAGAGCCAAGGCCCAGACTTTGATTCACAATCTCTCTTTGCTGCTAGTGGATGCCTCAGTTGGGACCATTCAGTGTCTTGAGGAAATTGTAAGTCTCCTCACTTTGACTTACTCATTCAGCAAGTATTAGTGAGTGATTACTATGTGTTCAGCAACTTACTCAGCCCTGCAAAGAAGTATAAGATTATTCGCTTTCAAGTCTAGTTGGCAACCCAAAACACAACACATTTCTAGAGCAATGCAGCAGATTGCTAAGTGGCCCAGGCAATGATTATAGTAGCGATAGTAATATAATAATAGTAACACATTATGCCAGGTACTGTATTTAGCACTTTGCTCATATTAATTTGCTAATCCTCACAACAGCCCTAGGAGGTTATGCTATTATCAGCATTTTACAATGAGAAATCTGAGGCACAGAGATCTTAAAGAAGTTGGCTAATTTCAGCTACTTAGGAGCAAAGGTTGAGATTCAAACTCGGGCATAAGAGTTCCAGAAAACATACTCTTACCTGGTATATTATATTGACAAGTAGAGTGGGAAAGGGAGCAGTGTGAGGTGGAATACTCGAGGGAAAAGCTTCCTGAAGGTGGCAGGACTTAATTTGGGCCTTGATGAGTAGGATTTAGAGAATTAAAGAAAGGAAGGAGTTAAAGAGAAATGAAAAAGAAATGAAAACATTTCAGACAGAAAGCCACGAAAGAGCACTGCCTATGTTGTAGAATGAAGACGATTGTGTTCTGGCTCAAAACTGTCATCTGGAAAAGATAGGAAGCTGGAAATATGGGTTGGAACTAAATCGGGAAGATCCCGGGATGCCTTTCAAGAGTCTAGGACCTGAACCTTGTCAGCCAGGGACTCCAGCATTTTAGTGAGGCAGAGCTGCTATGAAGGGTTTGGATTATGGGACAGAAGGCAGAGGTGGTGCTGCATACCAGCGTCCACTGGGAGGAGCGTCACCGCGGGAAAGAAGAGCCTGCTGGTGGCACTTGGCCCGAGATCTTGTAGAGTGGCTGCTGGCCAGGAGCCCATGCAGCGGGCAAAGGAGAGCTATCTCTGCATGGTGAGCAGAGCTGTGGCATGGTGAAACAGACGTCTGGGGAGGTCACAGCATACAGGTTGGTTGGAGCAGAGGCTAGGGACAGGGATGTCCCTGGAGGCTGCTGTAGATGTGCAGTGACAGGGGTCTAGACTTTGGGGGTGGGAGGAAAATCTGGAGAATTGCACTTTAATGGAAGATAAATTTTAAGAGGAAGAATAGGTCGGACTAAGTGACTGATACATAAAATATTAGGTGACTATGAAGTTTGAAGCATATGTGACTGTTGGTGTTGGTGCCGTTGGCAAAATGAAAAGGCAAGAAAGGACGATGGCATCCATTTCAGACATGCTGAGCTAGTGGCTACAGCAAGAAACCTGCTAGAAATCTCCAGCATGTAGTCCAGACTGTAGATCCACAGGAACTCGAGGTCAGTTTCAGTGTGTCATCTTCATGAACGTAGATTTGAAGGCATGAAAGCAGAAAAGTAACAGAGATGGAAGTACCTCTCCAGCCCCCACTTTACATTTCGAGCCTCCTCCTTCCTCTCCCACTCCTCAACATTGCCTTTACTTACTTAGGTTCTCGATATTCTCTTCAGAGGAGGTGGACCAAGCATCAGGGGAATTGTTATTTTTTGGCCTGAGCCCTTTTTCTTTTCTCTTCAGCTCTGTGAGTTTGTGCAGAAGGATGAATTGAAACCAGCAGTGACCCAAGTGCTGTGGGAGCGGGCAACGAAGAAGGTGCCCTGCTCTGCTCTGGAGCGCTGTTCTTCTGTCATGCTTCTCGGGATGATGGCACGGTGAGGCTCAGATCCAGACAGGCGGTAGGACGAGAGAGGAAGGGAAGGTTCTCTTAAGACTGCTTCAGTGGGGCTTCCCTGGTGGTGCAGTGGTTGAGAATCTGCCTGCTAATGCAGGGGACATGGGTTTGAGCCCTGGTCTGGGAGGATCCCACATGCCGCGGAGCGGCCGGGCCCGTGAGCCATGGCTGCTGAGCCTGTGCGTCCGGAGCCTGTGCTCTGCAACAAGAGAGGCCACGATAGTGAGAGGCCCGCGCACTGCGATGAAGAGTGACCCCCGCTTGCCACAACTAGAGAAAGCCCTCGCACAGAAACGAAGACCCAACACAGCAAAAATAAATAAATTAATTAATAAACTCCTACCCCCAACATCTTCTTTTAAAAAAAAAAAAAAAAAAAGACTGCTTCAGTAATAGCAGTCAGGCCCAGCTGAGCTCTGTGCACGCATCAGCCACCTAAATGGAGAATAAAACAGTGACCATACCAGTCTACCCCCAGGCAGCAGAAACAGTGGGGTCAACAGAGCAAGAGGGATGCCAAGGGGCCAGCCCTATGCCAGAGCCTCTCTGTAGCGCTCCAAGGCTCTCGAAGCCCTGAGTTGGGTGCTGGTTCCTACCCCCTTGGTGTTGTCCCCCACACAGAGGGGTCCGTGAGTGGCTTTAACTCTATGGCTTCCTTCTCCTAGAGGAAAACCAGAAATTGTAGGAAGCAACTTAGACACACTGGTGAGCATAGGGCTGGATGAGAAGCTTCCACAGGACTACAGGTTGGCCCAACAGGTGTGCCGTGCCATTGCCAACATCTCTGACAGGAGGAAGGTACGTGGGGTGGGTACGTCCAAACTAAGGAGAGTGGGCATTCTCCTGTCCACCGTCAACACACACCCGCGTTGTCTTCCCTGCTTTCGACAGCCTTCTCTGGGCAAACGTCACCCTCCCTTCCGGCTGCCTCAGGAACACTGCTTGTTTGAGCGACTACAGGAGACGGTCACGAAAGGTGAGCTACCATGAAGGGCCTCGGGCAGAATTGGGCCTTTGTCTGCAGTGGCAACTTCTCCCTTCTGCTGCGCAGGCGTTGTCTGCCCAGACCCACTCTGGATCCCATTCAAGGAGGCGGCAGTGACCCTCATTTACCAGCTGGCAGAGGGCCCCGAGGTGATCTGTGCCCGGATGCTGCAGGGCTGTGCAAAGCAGGCCCTGGAGAAGCTGGGAGAGAAAAGCACCCCCCAGGAGGCCACGAGTAAGTAGGCAAGAGGGTCGGTGGGCCCGCAGGCAGCAGCCAGCTTCTGCTGCCGTCCCTGCCGGCCGGGAGCCACTGATACTACCACTTCCTACAACCACTCCCGATCCCCTCAACCCCCGCTGTCCCTTTCTGTCACTCAGGCCGGGCCCGTCACTGCTACCACACCCTCCACCCCCAGCTCTTGCCTCTTCACTGGGGTGTAGAGCGTGTGAGCAAGGGGGCCATCAGTATGGCGGGGGCCTGTGAGACTTGATTGTCTTTTTCTCCGTGCTTTCCCGCTCCCCCTCCTGCAGAGGACACGCCTGTGCTCCCCACTTTCCTGTTGATGAACCTGCTGTCCCTGGCCGGGGATGTGGCTCTGCAGCAGCTGGTGCATCTGGAGCAGGCAGTGAGTGGAGAGCTCTGTCGGCGCCGAGTTCTTCGGGAAGAACAGGAGCATAAGACGAAAGAGCCAAAGGAGAAGGTGAGTGGCACGCCTGCGCATTTGGGTTCGAGTCCCAGGCGTTTCCCAGATTTGCTTCCGGCCCTCGGGTCCTTCACATTTCCTTCTGGGGATCTCCGCTTCTCTCCTGTTAAATGAGCTGATGGAGACTGCCTCCTTGCTGCAACTACTCTGGAAATGATTAGTGAGAACAAAGATGGATCACCCAGGAAGGAAAGTTTTAGGTAAATACAGAGCATCGAGATAAGGACCTTGGCATAAGACACAGGCTGTGCCCTAGGCAGTGTTTGTTAGCACACTCCCAGGGCCTTTCCGGCAGCCTTGGTGACTGGGCGTAGCACCTGATGGGACCTTGTGTTCTCTCCACTAGAGGCAGTGATGTCTGGCAGACAAATGATTGACAGAGCCCTGCAGCAGTGAGATAAAGTCTGCCCTTCTCTGTGACCTTGAACCATTGTCTGGCAGGCTCCGTCTGTTGACTGTGTCTAGGAAGTTATGTGCTTCTGAGGAGGAATTCAGAAGAGGTGTGGGGTGCTTCGGCAACTTGAACACAAACGGACCTAGTTCTCTTCCGGTTTAATTCAAGAGTCCTTCTTTGGATACACGTGACACGCCTGTGACTGGTTTTGCAGAATTTGCCTTTCCCCAGATCCATTTGTGCGAAATGAAGGGTAGGCTGGAATCAAAACGGTCTGCTCACCCATGACCTGGCTGCTCTCCCATCAGAATCCAAGCTCTGAGGCCACCATGGAGGAGGAGATGGGGCTGGTTGGGGCTACAGCTGATGACACCGAGGCAGAACTCATCCGCGGCATCTGTGAGCTGGAGCTGCTAGATGGTGAGAAGAATTGCTGAGTGGCCCTCTCCCTGGCTAGGTAGGCTGTCCCAAACCTAGAGTTGTTCCTTCACCAGGCAAACAGACACTGGCTGCCTTTGTTCCACTTCTGCTTAAAGTCTGCAACAACCCTGGTCTCTATAGCAACCCAGAGCTCTCTGCAGCTGCTTCACTTGCCCTCGGCAAGTTCTGCATGATCAGGTAGGCCTTGGGGTGGGCATCACCTTCTCCAGGAGGATGGGGGATGGTATGGTTTCCCTGATGATCCTCTCTTTGCCCCTAGTGCCACTTTCTGTGACTCCCAGCTTCGTCTTCTGTTCACCATGCTAGAAAAGTCTTCGCTCCCCATCGTTCGATCTAACCTCATGATTGCTACTGGGGATCTGGCCATCCGCTTCCCCAACCTGGTGGACCCCTGGACACCTCATCTGTATGCTCGGTGAGGGACACCTCACAGCACCTTCGCCGTCCCAGCCAGCCCTGGAGGCTGTGGTGAAGTCAGTGTGAGAATCCCCAAAACTGTGCCCTGGTCTTTAATGTTCCCTTGAACATCTGTGCAGGCCCTGGCTGAGTGTGGCCCCAAAGGGATTGATGTTTCTTCTCTAAAGCCTTGGTTACAGCCTTGGCCTCTTTCCCCAAACCCAGCTTTCAACTCTAAACATCCCCTAACTGCTTCTAGAATGGCACTAGGAAGAGGCCATAGAGTCCTACTGAGGGCCTGTCTGCCAGCGTCAGCTTTAGCCCATGGTCTTGGTCCTAATGACTCGGATTTCATTCTTAGCCTCCGGGACCCCGCTCAGCAAGTGCGGAAAACAGCCGGGCTGGTGATGACCCACCTGATCCTGAAGGACATGGTGAAGGTGAAGGGGCAGGTGAGCGAGATGGCCGTGCTGCTCATCGACCCTGCCCCTCAGATCGCTGCCCTGGCCAAGAACTTCTTCAACGAGCTCTCCCACAAGGTGAGAGGTGGGGGGCAGCTTAGAGCTTGCTGCCGGGGGAACATGCAGGTCACCTCGTCTCTTTGATATGACTCTCTCTCTCTCACAGGGCAATGCGATCTATAACCTCCTTCCAGATATCATCAGCCGCCTGTCAGCCCCTGAGGGAGGAGTGGAGGAGGAGCCTTTCCACACCATCATGAAGTACAGTTCCCTGGGCCTTGGGGCACGTTTTCCATTGTAGAGCAGCCTTAGGAATCAGACAAACCTGTATGTGATTTCTGGCTCTGCTACTCTTTAGCCTGTGGACTTCAGCAATAACCACCTCTCTGTGCCTGTTCCTCCTGTGTAAAATGAGGCCAGAAATACTTCCCCTTTATTAGTTCTTGAAAAGGTTCAATAAGGCAAAAGTCCTGACACTGGACAGCAGCTGCTTTTGTTATAAATTGCGTCTCAGTGAAATTCCTCAGGAGGGTGGGGTGGGCCCTTCCCTGAGGCGTGAGAGAGGGCAGGAGGTACAGGCCCGGGCGTGGGCTGCGGCAGAGAAGAGCCTGCTACGGAGTCAGGAGGATGACAGAAGGCTGGTGCTGGGGAGGGTACGGGGTTGGTGTTGGCAGTGGGTGGGTTCGGAGCTGCCCCCAGAGACGGCACATCCGCATCTCCCCTCCTGCAGGCAGCTCCTTTGCTACATCACCAAGGACAAGCAGACCGAGAGCCTGGTGGAGAAGCTGTGTCAGCGGTTCCGCACGGCCCAGTACGCTGCCTGCCTTGAGGGCTCTTTGTGGCGAGAGGGAAAGAGCCCTCCCACCCAGGGGCCTCCCCGGGGCTGTGGGAGGCTGATGAGGAAGGAGGCCTTTCCCTCCTGGGTCCCACTGCTCCTCACAGAGCCATCCTGCCCGCAGGACCGAGCGCCAGTACCGGGACCTGGCCTACTGCGTGTCACAGCTGCCCCTCACAGAGCGGGGTCTCCGCAAGATGCTGGAAAACTTTGACTGCTTTGGAGATAAACTGTCAGACGAGTCCATCTTCAGCGCCTTTTTGTCCGCTGTGGGCAAGTTGCGGCGTGGAGCCAAGCCCGAGGGCAAGGTGAGCGGTGCCCGCCCGCATTCCAGCCACAGTTCATTCCGCTGTTCTGAGGCTCTGGATTTCTGACTTAGCCCCAGCTGATTGCAACCAAGTAACCAGAGTGACCTGAGACCAGATCTTTCTGTCTCCAATTCCTGATTCTTTGTTTCTCTTTTTTCTTTTCTTTAGTAGACTTTACTGAGGGCAGTTTCAGGTTCAAAGCAAAATTGAGTAAAATATAGAGTTCCCCCATGTGCCCCCTGCCCCCAGGCAGGCACAGCCTCACAGCCTCCCCGGTTACCCGCATCCCCGCCAGAGGCTAGAGCAGGACATCCATGAACCTGCCTGGACACATCACCATCGCCCAGAGAGCGTGGTTTCCGGGAGGGTTCACTCTCGGTGATGTGCGCGCTGAGGGTTTAGAATGTATTGTGACCTGTGCCCACTGCTGTGCGACATTCAGAGTAGATTCCCTGCTCTGAGCATCCTCTGCTCCCCTGTTCACCCCACCTCCCCGAAGCCCTGGCAGCCACTGGTCTTTTTACTGTTGCCACAGCTTTGCCTTTCGCAGGGTGTCATATCATCGCACCCACACGGTATATGCTTTTCTCAGTTGTGTTCTTTCATCCAGTGATACGCATTTAAGGTTCCTCCATGTCTTTTCACGGACTTGTTTTTTTTTTTTTTTTTTTTTGGCTGCGTTGGGTCTTCGTTGCTGTGCGTGGGCTTTCTCTAGTTGCGGCGAGCGGGGGCTGCTCATTGCGGTGGCTTCTCTTGTTGCAGAGCCTGGGCTCTAGGTGTGCGGGCTTCAGTAGTTGTGGCACACGGGCTCAGTAGTTGTGGCTCACAGGCTCTAGAGTGCAGACTCAGTAGTTGTGGCACATGGACTTAGTTGTTCCGCGGCATGTGGGATCTTCCCGGACCAGGGCTTGAACCCTGTCCCCTGCATTGGCAGGCAGATTCTTTTTTTTTTTTTTTTTTTTTTGCGGTACGCGGGCCTCTCACTGTTGTGGCCTCTCCCGTTGCGGACGCACAGGCTCAGCGGCCATGGCTCACGGGCCCAGCCATTCCACGGCATGTGGGATCTTCCCGGACCAGGGCATGAAGCCGTGTCCCCTGCATCGGCAGGCGGACTCTCAACCACTGCGCCACCAGGGAAGCCCCCAGGCAGATTCTTAACCACTGCACCACCAGGGAAGCCCCAACTTGTTTCTTTTTAATCATAGAAATAACTATATTTCCAGGCCTGCTTTTCACCTCTTTTTGCCTCCAGGCTGTAATAGATGAATTCGAGCAGAAGCTTCGGGCCTGTCACACCAGAGGTTTGGATGCAATAGAGGAACTTGAGATTGGCCAAGCGGGTAGCCAGAGAGCCCCATCAGCCAGGAAACAGCCTGCTGGTACGTGAGGCAGCCCCTCGCGGGACAGACCAGGCGGGGCCCTCCTCTCAGATAGAGGTTCCTTTTGTCTTTCCTTTTTGGACTCATGCCTCTGCCTTTTCTAGTCTCTAGACACCGGCGTCTGGCTTCTGCAGCGTCACACAGTGACTTTGTCACACCTGAGCCCCGCCGTACTACCCGATGGCATCCAGACACCCAGCGGCAAGTTTCAAGAAAGAAACTCAGAATCGTCTTCTCAAGTGATGAGTCCAGCGAGGAAGGTATGGTGCTTCCTTCCACACCGAGCCCAGAAGAAGCATAGCTCGGCGGGGCGGGGGGGAGGCTGGCTTTGATGGGGTCCTGCTGCATAGGCCCCCTGCCCCCAAGGTCCTCTTCCTCCCTGTGCAGTGTGGCCTGGGACTGTCCCATTTGTTCTCTGAGACCTATGTTTCACCATCTTTGTGACTCAGCTTTTTCTTATTCCCCCAATTCTTTGAATAGAACCATTAGCAGAGATGACAGAAGATGAGACACCCAAGAAAACCACCCCCATCCGCCGCCGAGCATCTGCTCACAGGCACAGGTCCTAGGGGCAGCCTTGCCTGTTCCCAACCCTGCTGTGCTGGTGTCTTGTGGAGTGACCTTGAATTCTGTTCCCCTTGTAAAATACTTGTTTGCCTGTCTCCTTGTTTTTTTAATGCATAAATGGTCTTTGTAACAGATGGCTTTGCTCTTAAACTAGCCTAACTGAACTGAGTTGAGCTGCTTTCCTTGGAATATACATTTGCCAGTTTCCTAGTTTTCCAATGAATAAACATTTTTATATACTTTTAGAGGTTTTTCCTAAGCTCATCTTTGTTTCACCTTTCTCGTTAGCCCAGAGGCAGGCAGCAGATAGAGGGTTATTGATCCAGAAGATGATGAGCCCAGGAGTCTGGGGCCCGTCCAGCATCTGCTGAGTTTCACGCCCCCTCAGTGCCTCATCTTTCCCTCTCGACCTCCCCACCCTGCACGCGTGGCAGGATTGCTCCGCTGTGCAGAATTAGGCAGCGTCTAGACTCCAGATCCGCACTTCTCAATCTGGGGGCAATTTTGCCCTGCAGGGGACAGTTGGCAACATCTAGAGACTATTTTTGTGGTCACAACCCAGCAGGGAGGGGTGCTACCAGCAGCTAGGGGGCTGAGGCCAGGGATGTTGCTAAACATCCTACAATGCACAGGACAGATCCCACCACAGAAAATGCTCCGGCCCAAAATGTCAGTGAAGCTGAAGTTGAGAAACCCTCCTCTCCAGCAAGGGCTGGCTTCTGTCCTGCCCTCACCCCGACTCGTGCCCCTGACCCCATCTCTAAAGACAGGTGACTGACCTGGCCAGGCTGATGGGAGATCAGGTCATGATTCCCCGTCAGCTCTAGACAGTGTCTCTGGGGACTGTCTCCCAGGGATTCCTCACCACGTTACAGGGTCTGCAGCAAGTCAGCCCCTCAGATGCAGGCCCCGTCCACCCCCTCCTACTCCCCAGTTCCTCTCTGCTGAATCACCTGAACTGGAGGCAGTGAGGCTGCTGTCATGGCTACAGTGGTGTCTTTGCTGTCATGACAACAGCACACTGCATCAGTCAGTCGTGCTCTCGGAGCACTGAGCTCCCTTTTCAGCAAAGGACAGTAATGAGAAATGACAAGCACGTGGCAAAGGGGGACGTGCTTTGGGTAGCACAGTAGGGTGGAGGGGCTCCTAAGGCCCTTGTCAGGGAAGGCGCTGCCGTCCTGGTGGAGCCTGAGGAGGTGGCGTCTCCCCTCCACTTACCCAGCAGACCCCTCAGTGCGGCGCTTCCCGCCTCCCCCACCATTAGCTGCCCCGTGGCCCTGCTCTTCCTGCTCCTGCAGAAGTCTGGCCATGGGCCATGCAGATGGCTGCCAGCCACAGCCAGCCTTGGGTCTGGGGCCCCAAGAGGGAGGGCAGTCCCAGAAAGGCAAGGGACGGGCTGGAGTCGGGGCGCAGGGCAGTGCTCTCTGCCTTTTAAGCAAAGGTTGTCGCCGTGCGGGGCTAAACTTAGCCACAGGCTTTTCAGCTGGAAAAGGGGGCTGGTCTCAGGTTACGCTGGGCCAGCAAAGAGGCCCCAGTTCTGTCCCCCAGCACCTGCTGATGGGCAATGTCCATCCCACCCCACCCCCCTCTAAATCCTCAACCCTTCAAGTCCTCAGAACCAGCCCTTCCTCCATCCTCAGCTTACAAACCCAGCACAGTGCCAGCTTCTGACTGACGGGTCTTGGAGAGGAATGGATCCCTTCCTCCACATCACGTGTGGGAAGGGGCTGGGGGCCTGTTCCCACCATATGCCCAAGACCTCCCAATATTTTTCCTCTTCTGGACTCCTCACCCTGCCCCCAACATCCCCTGGACGCAGCCAGTGAAGGGGAGGCCCTGGCTGCAGGGCTGGCCTGCACGTCCCAGGATGGGGAGGGACTTCCGCCCTAGCGTCCTGCTCTCGGCCCAGGGCTGGACGGGCTGGACAGGGTGAAAGAGGCATTGTCTTCCAGCCGGGGCGGCACAGCCCTCAGGCTTCCCAGGAGAGAATTTGTGGGAGGCCTCCGGCCCTCTACCGGGCCAGCCCCCAGCAGCGATGCTATCCCGCCCCGGGGCCCCAGCCCGGGCCTAGGGGAGAGCAGCTGGTGCGCACAGGGCCTGGTTTGTCTGCCTCGATTCTCAGGTCTCCAGGCTGCCTGCGCCGCAGGACATCGTGACCTTCAGTGCAGACCCCTCCCCCTCATGCCTCCTCCGGAGCCTCCTTCCTCTCCAGGCCCCCACAGCCCAGGGCCCAGCCCCGGCCCCCGGCCCCCGGCCCAGAATCCGGGCCGTTGGAGGGGGGGAGGGGGAGGGGGAAGGAGGACTGGGCAGGGTCCTGCGGGAGGCCCCTCCCGAGCCTTTTCCTCTGCTGTTCCAGTGTCACTACCGAAGAGCCTCGAGAAGTTCCTCAGCCTTCCCGCCTCTCAGCCTTTGAAAGTAGGGGAGCGGGGGCGGGGAGGAGGAGGAAGGGGGACCCTGCAGCCGCGAGCCGTCCCTGGCTCCGGGTCCAATTCCCTATCTAACCGGCTCCCCAAGTTCTCCCGTTACATCCGTGCAGCATCCCTCAGTTCTCACCAGGGCCCACGGCCCCGAGTCCACAGAATCCCGCAGTAACCCCCCGCCCCCAATCCCCGCCAAGCACCATCACCGGTCCCCTCCTCCTTTGGGCCAGTCTCGGTCCCCTCCCCCTCTCCCTCAGCCCACACGCGCGGTGCCTGCACATTTGAAGAACCAGGCTGGTCCAAAAGAAGCGGGGAGCCGACTACTCGCGACTTTACGGGCGCACGTAGCTCAAGCCTCCGCACCCGGGGGCTGGGACTGGGCTAGGCGGGCCTGCGTCACCACGCCCCCGCCCCTCCCCTGCCCTATAAATTCCGGCTGCAGCCTTCCCCTGCGCTCTCTGCTCCTACCCGTTCGACAGGCAGCCGTGTGTTGTGTGCAGTGCCAGGTAAAGCCTGGCGGAGAGGGTCCACAAAGGGCTCGGGGATGGCCCCGAAAGGGACAAGGGGTGTGCGCGAGCCGGGGGTGCGGCTGAGGAGGCCGGGGTCCGGGTCGCGGGGCCCCCGCATTGCAGGGGCGGGAGGAAGGACGTGCGGAAGCGCAGGTCCGGGATGGAGGCCTGGGGGAGGGGCGGGGAGGGCAGCGCCGGACTCCAACCGCTTCGCCGCGCGTTCTAATGCTCACCTCCCTCTGTCTGCAGCTGCGTCCCGGAGACAAGATGGTGAAGGTCGGAGTGAACGGGTGAGTTGCGGGGTGGCGCGGGGTGGGGCAGTAAGTCCTGCGCTCCCCACCGAATTGCGTCTGTGGGTCTTGCCCTACCGGGTCTCTGCCAGCGCGTGGGAGACCTGGATGGGGGTGGTCGTACCGCCCCCCAAGGAGAGCTCAAGGTCGGTGCTCAGACCTGGAGGAGGCCCTCGCAAGTCCTCGTGTCCCCCATCCCCGGCTGTTGCGCCTCCTGTTAACTCCGCCTCTGCGGAGCCTTCCACTCCGCCTGCGGCAGATACCCAGGAGTCTCCGATTCTTGATGTGGACCCATCCTCTAATCTTCCAGCTCGGGCCCTTTCTTTCATTTCGCGCCCTTCGCGGTCACGTGCTGGGGAGGAGCCGGTCCCCCACCTGCAGCCCGTGCCCCCGGCCGGGCGCAGCCCCGGGATGCAGGAGGCACAGCTGCGCGCAGAACCAGCTGGGGGCGGGGGGGTGGGGGCTGTTGGTCATCTGCGGTAACCAGCCGCCATGTTGCAACTAGGAAGGAAATGAATGAACCGCCCGTTAGGAAACCTTCCTTAGCCCTTCAGCCTTCCTCCTTCCTTGCCTATAACTGACCCTCCTACCCCTGTCTCGTGGGGTGGAGTCGCCTTTATCCCTTGAGCCAGGTGAGGCCACGCTTTCCCGTTCTTGTTCAACTAGACCTCAACTCTGACCATCCCTTAAACCGCTAGCCACATTTCCCCCCAGGGATGATAGGACGCTTTTCCTAGATGGTTATCTGATGAATCAAAAACGTGGGTTTATGGGGGTGGTCTTGTGTTATGTTGGGGTTTTTTTCCTTTCCTTTTTCCGTAGAGGTGTGGTAGCCGTGGCTTGGCGCCATGCTGGGGGAGCTGAGTCATGGGTACTTAGAAATTTTCCACCACAAAATGGCTCCCGGAGCTGCAGCCCCTGTCTTCACAGCGGCTCTCCTCGAAGCTTATTTCTTCCATCCATGCGTAGAGGTGACCCAACCCTAAGGGCCAGGCTGTAAAGGTCACCAGGAGGGATTAGGTGTCTGTGAGCCTCAGGCATCCTGCCCTTCTCCCCATCCCGTCTTCCAGAAACCAGATCCCCACTCCACCCTAAGCTGGGGTTAAATATAGCTGCCTGACCTTTCTGCAGCTGGGGTCCTGGGCTTCTGCTCTTTTCCACCTCCTCCCCCTGCCCTCCCCACACCCAAACGTCTGTTGCTCCCACTCCTGGTTTTTGGGAAAGAGCTAGGAAGGACAAGTACTAAGCAAATCAGAGTGCTGGGATTAGGGGTTGAGAAACCATTCCTTTTCCCTCTTTCCCTTTTGTAGGAGGGACTTGGGGAAGGGGGGGTGGGTTTCCCCTGGCCAGTTCACTTCTGACCTTTGCTCTTGCCCTTTGAGCTTGGTGATGCTGAGTGTACAGGTCTTTGCTCTCTAGAGGGTGTAGCCCGAAGCTGGGCCAGGCAGGAACAAGCATTTACAGTCAGATGAGTGCCATGTGCCTGTCACGTGCCCAGACTGTAGGTGGCAGCAGCAGCGCACCACCCTACCCTGTCGCTCCTCAACAGATTTCAGATGGGTGGGCAAGTCTTTGAGCCTAATCACCTCTTGGGCAGGATGTGAGCCTTCACTTTGTGGCCGTGCTGGGAAGCCAGGCTGGCCTGGCAGAGTTGCTTAGGAAGGTGAAGTGAGCTCTCCTGGGACTTTTCTGGTGGTAGCAAAGTGGCATCCTCTTCCCTCTGAAAGAGGGTGAGTGGGCCTGGGGCTGCTTGCATACCCAGGAGGACTCTCTCCTCCCTTCTCATGCCTTCTCACCTGTTGTCCCCCTCAGATTTGGCCGTATTGGGCGCCTGGTCACCAGGGCTGCTTTTAACTCTGGCAAAGTGGACATTGTCGCCATCAATGACCCCTTCATTGACCTTCACTACATGGTGAGTGCCACCCGTGCCGGTGGCGGGGAGCAGAGCCCGGCTGAGGCGCGGCCCCCTGATGCCCTCCCTCGTCCCCCCAGGTCTACATGTTCCAGTATGATTCCACCCACGGCAAGTTCCATGGCACAGTCAAGGCTGAGAACGGGAAGCTTGTCGTCAATGGAAAGGCCATCACCATCTTCCAGGAGTAAGTGTGGGAGACGGAACAGGAAGAAGTTTGCCTTGGAGGAGGTGCTGGAATGGGGTGACTTCCTTGGGTCCGTGGCAGCCCATGGCCCTGAGCTTTGTCCTGTCTTCCCTTGTAGGCGAGATCCCGCCAACATCAAATGGGGTGATGCTGGCGCTGAGTACGTGGTGGAGTCCACCGGCGTCTTCACCACCATGGAGAAGGCCGGGGTGAGCCACAGGGAGGCGGGAGAGGAGGGGACCCCGGGCTTTGGTGTGCCAGGAAGATTGGGTGGGGCGGACCTAGGCCGGGAAGGGGGAGCCTGGGTTTGTAAGTGCTCCTCTGCCGCAGGCTCACTTGAAGGGTGGAGCCAAGAGGGTCATCATCTCTGCCCCTTCCGCCGATGCCCCCATGTTCGTCATGGGCGTGAACCATGAGAAGTATGACAACCACCTCAAGATCGTCAGGTGAGCATGCGGAGAAGTGGGCAGATCGCGCTGCGTGTTACGCGAGGGGCGTGCCCCTGACCTGCCTCTCTCTTTCCAGCAATGCCTCCTGCACCACCAACTGCTTGGCCCCGCTGGCCAAGGTCATCCATGACCACTTCGGCATCGTGGAGGGACTCATGGTATGAGTGATGCGGGGCTTGCCAGGGCACATTCAGTCCACACCCAGGGTGGGACCCTTCTCCCTCCCAGAGCATGGCCCTGGGCTGTGGGGCTGAGGGGCTGAGGGGCATCCGGGGTTCCAAGGGATCTGCTCAGGTCACTTCTTCCCCCAGTAGGAGGGAGGGGGAAGGGGTGGCATGGTGAGCACTAGGCAGGGCCTTCACGCCCCCTCCTGTCTCCAGACGACGGTCCATGCCATCACTGCCACCCAGAAGACCGTGGATGGCCCCTCTGGGAAGCTGTGGCGTGATGGCCGAGGCGCTGCCCAGAACATCATCCCTGCTTCCACTGGTGCTGCCAAGGCTGTGGGCAAGGTCATCCCTGAGCTGAACGGGTGAGACTCGCTGCTGCTTTTCTGCCCTGGGAACCCGGGGATCCGGGACGCCTGGTGCCGACTCTGCTTCCTTGTGTCTACAGGAAGCTCACTGGCATGGCTTTCCGCGTCCCCACCCCCAACGTGTCCGTCGTGGATCTGACCTGCCGCCTGGAGAAACCTGTAAGTTCCAGCTGGAGCAGCCTTGGTGGGCTGGGGCTTGCAAGACTGGAGCTTGAATGACCGCCTGTGTTTACGTCCTCAGGCCAAATACGAGGACATCAAGAAGGTGGTGAAGCAAGCGTCCGAAGGGCCCCTCAAGGGCATCCTGGGCTACACTGAGGACCAGGTACTGACGGGTCAGGGAACTTGGTGTCCACGTGGCCCCAGTGAGCAAGACTGGGTTCTATTCTTGGCCCTCTCCCTCCCTAGGTTGTCTCCTGTGACTTCAACAGTGACACCCACTCTTCTACCTTCGATGCTGGGGCTGGCATCGCCCTCAACGACCACTTTGTCAAGCTCATTTCCTGGTGTGTGGCTGGGGTGGTGTGGGAGTTGGTGCGCCAGAGTGGGACTGAGTCTGCTGCCCCCTGGCGGCCGACTCGGGAAAACAACCCTTAACTCCCTCTTCTTCCAGGTACGACAATGAATTTGGCTACAGCAACAGGGTGGTGGACCTCATGGTCCACATGGCCTCCAAGGAGTAAGAGTCCCTGGACCACCAGCCCCAGCAGGAACACAAGAGGAAGAGAGAGGTCCTCCGCTGCTGGGGAGTCCTTGCCCCAACTCCGTCCTCCAACACACTTGAGAATCTCCCGACCTCCATGCGGTTTCCATCCCAGACCCCCTGAGGAAGGGGAGGAGGAGGGGCTTAGGGAGCCCTACCTTGTCATGTACCATCAATAAAGTACACTGCACCCAGGCTACTGTTCTGTCTTGCTCCAGGGTCTAGGATAAAGGGGACGGGAGCTGGGCTGGGGCCAAGGAGAACTACATCTTGCTGAGACCACCCAACCAGGCAGGAGCCCCGCCCCAGGGCGGACACTGCTCCCCTGAAGAGCCACGTGTCCTCAGGTCACCTTGATTCCTCTCTGAGGCCTTTGGGTGCCTTGGGGACTCGCTGTGCTCCAGATGGCTGTGGCTGAGCCCAGGAATGGCCTGGCTCCACGTATCCAGATGCCGTTCTGTCTGCAGCTCCCCGAGGGTGACACTGGCACAGGAAGTCAGGGCAGAGTGTGCCTGGCCTCTGACCAGTTGGTTGACCTCTGCAGCAGCATGGAGCACGGCCAGCCTGCCGGGTGCAGACCCCAGCTCTGCCCAGTGGCTGCAAGTCTCAGTGCCCCGGTGATCACCAGCAGTGCAGCTGGGTGGGTGCCCTAGTGTCACCGGAGGGGTTACAGTAGGCTGGTCCATGGGAAGGGTGGGGATGGCTTTGCTCCCATGTCATCTGTCACCTGTGGATGCACGTGGCTTTGGCGGTAGAAGCACAGAGCTGGTGCCGGGAACCAGGGCTGAGGCTGCGGCCGTGCCACTCGAGGCACCGTTACCTTGGGCAGGTTACTTACAATCTCCGCACCTACCCTGCACCTGCATGTTTTTAAAGTGATAACTCTGCACTCTGTGCAGAGGACTGCATAACCACCACCAGACCAGAAAGTGCTGGAAACAGTGACACAGACGTGTTCAATAAACAGTCGCCAGTTTCATTGTCATTAGATTCCACACAAACATCGGCTCAGCCCAGCCCGCCTCAGGCGGCGACGACGAGGGACCCTCCGTCTCGTAGCCCCGGTTCACCAAGCTTTTCCGAGTCCAGGACATCTCACTCAGCCGGTTGGTCTCAGTGTGTGACAGACACGGAGGAGACACACCTGCAGCTGATGCTTGAAGAAACTGGGACCCTGAGGGCACATGCGCCCATACATGCTCATGTGCACACACACGCCCCCCCACACACAGCTTCACCTTTCTGTCACCGGGCGGTGACTGGGAAACAAGCAGGGGCTTCTGTCTCCCTCCACGACACTGACGCCGCACCCGGTCAGACCCAGAAGCCGCCGGCACCGGACGCACTAGGGCCCCTGCGACGCGCGGCACCTCCACCAGGGAAGGCTCACAGCCACGTCACTGCTGTCGGCCGTGCTGGCCGTGAGCACTCCAGAGCGCCCTGCCCAGGCCCGCTCCCTCCGCTTGTGACACGGAGGGAAGCCCTCTCTGGTGCACGAGCCACAGAACGTCCAGCCTAATCCCCCTCATACCAGTGCCCACGCCAGTTAGCACCAGTACAGAATCAAGACGGCCAGCTGGCTTGAGGCCACAGGGACGGCAGGAAGGACAATCCATCATGTTCCTTACTCAGTGGGGAGGTGAGGGGCCACGAGCGCTCGGGCAGTGTGTTAAAGATGGGAAGTAGCATTCACCCACGCAGGAAGGCAGGGGAGCCGGCTGTGCAGGGGGTCGCCCGGGAAGGGCAGGCCAAGCCTTGCTCCAGACACCCCAGACCCCTAGAGAGGCCAAGGACCAAGGGGGGAGGCTGGGGAGGAGCACCCCGTGGCCGGGGCCGGGCTCGGTGCTGCAGGACAAACGCGTTCCCTTCTGGGAACCACCCAGCCCCCTGCCTCGGCGAGTCCCAGCGGGCCGAGGAGGCCCCTATCTCACGGCGCCGTCGGATGAGACATCGCGATCGGAGTCCTCAGCCTCGCTTGGTGGCGGCGGGGGCGGCAGGTCGCTAAGCGGGGCCGCAGTGAAAGCAGGAGACTTTCTAGAAAAGAGCATCAGCTGTAACCTCGGGGCGGGAGGAGTCCTGACAAGGCCGGCACGCCCGCCGCCCCTGGCCTGATCCCCTGGCAGGCAGCATCTCAGGCAGGGCAGGAGGACCACAGGGCAAGGGCGGATGCAGGGCAAGGGAGGGGGGAAGGGGGTAAGAAACGGTCCCCACTTTAACTTGGGGACCCGGAGAGGCTGAGTTCAGAAGTATCTGAGGTCACAGTATGAGACGCCGCCGGAGCCGGAGGGCACCGGCTCTGTGGCCCCAGCTTCACGTCTATGAAGTAGTTTTGCGATTTTTAAAAACTTACGCAGGGTCAAAGGCACAAATTGTGGCGCTGACTTTAGATAAAAGTCTGCCCCTTGTGCTCCCTGTCAGTCTTTAGCTGCCTTTCTAACCAGGGGAACCGCATCGGGAGGTTTCGGCAGTCCAACCACGAATGGACAACTGCCGAGGGGGAGGGAGCTGCCGGGCTGGGGCGAGCAGACCAGGCGATCTCCAACGGGCAGCCCCACGGCAAGACGGGCCTGAGTCACTGCCGGAGGGTCTCAGGGCTCCCCAGTGAGGGGCGCTGGGTACTGTCCCCTCCCGCCTGTGCCCGGGGGGCCCTTACCGGTCCCCGGACTGGGTGATGAGCCGGCGGCAGGTCTCCATCTGCACGTCCAGGCCCCGCTTCATGCTGCACATCTCCATGTACTCGTGCAGGTGCCGGTTCATGTCATTCTTGGCCGTGGCCAGCTCCAGCTGTGGTGGGGGCAGGGCAGGGCCGCCGGGTCAGCAGGGCCTGTCCCCCGCCCCCCGGAGGCTAACTGCCAAGCACCCCGGGCGGGGCACAGGCAGCCGTAGTGGAAGTGAAGGACTCAGATTTTAAACTAAACCAGCTCAAGGCAGAAGGTGCCCAATACCCCATCATTCCTTCTAGTTTCCCCGGGAGTCTCTCCCACAGAGGCTTTCACTAAGCGATCTGCTCTGGGCCTGCACTCTCGGAACAGACTCCCAACGAGAGCCGTGAGGAACGGATGTTCCTGAGTGCGTGGGCAGCACGTGGGGATGACCTTGCCCCTTCCTGGGGCCCCCCCGGGGCCTGCTCCAGTCCTCACTCCCAACACAGCGCTGTCCCCCCAGCCTGTCCCCCTCTGCAAGCTGGGAGCTCCTGGCAGGGCTGGCCACGGGGCCTACTCATCCCTGCGTGCACACCCCACACCTCGACGGCAGTCATTAGTTAACTTCAAGCAGCGTCCACGAGACTCATGGCCCAGAGGCCGGCTGGGCCCTGTTGAAAGGCACTCTGCTCTCTTACCACCTATTTCCTCTCATTGCTTTTCTCACTTGTAAGTCCTTTTCAGAGATGAACGGAAGGACTGCCTGCCTCGCTGAATGTCCGACGGGCTCTGAGATGTAGCCCGACTCAAGACACGTCATGCGTGACATGACGTGTGGCCCAGAGTCGAGGGCACGCAGTCTCCCTCCCAGACCCCGCCTCTGCGCCACAGGCTCAGAGGTAGAGCTGAGAGCCAGGCGCAGAGGCGGTGAAAGATCCGGCCACAGACAGTGTGCTGCCTCTCTCTGTTCTGGGCACAAGGGGAGGCAGAGAAACTGATCGGAGGTGACGTGCTTGACTGCTTGAGAGCAAAGAGAAAGGGCGGGAAGCCACCTGTGACCGGTCTGAACTGGGCAGAGAGGATGCGAAACTCGGAGAGAAAAGAAAATAGTCACAGAGCCAGACACAGAGACGGCAGCCCAGGTGGATCAGAAGCCCTAGTGAGCACGGCTCAAACTCCAGCCTTGGTTCCAGAGCTGGGATCCCAGCCGGGGCCCAGCAGCAAGAGCATGTGCAGGGCCAGGACGCACTGACTGTTCAGTCCAGGAGGGAAATACGGTGCCGCCAGCTCTTGTCCAGACTGGCTGCCACCTACACCCCAATCCCTACACCTCAGGAGAGCCCCCCGGTATTAAAGAGGAGGGGTGGGCTCTGGAGCCCATCGCTCAGCGGGGCAGGGAACAAGGGAACGAACCAAACATATTCCAGGAGAATACGAGGCTAGGACGGCCACCAGTCTCTACACATTCAGAGCAGGGCTGCAGGAAGGAGACAACCCCAAAAGCCACACTGCAAACCCCGTGCACGCTGGCAGCGGGGCAGGGCGGAGGGGTGAGGCTGGGAGCAGATGGAGGGGAAGGGGTGGGGGAAAGAATTCCCGCCCACCCTCCACCTGGGCCTTGGTCTCACCATCCAGTGGTGGAAATGGTCCTTGCCTCCATCCCAGGGCCCCTGAGAGATCAAAGGTCACTGAGTTGAAGGGACCTCAGGTGTCCCATTTGGATGTCCAGGAGCAACACTGCAGCCACCACCACCGTGTCCGCCCCGCTGACACCTCCCATCATGCCATTCTAGGCGTAGGGAGGAGGAGGACAGTGGGATGGTGTAAACGGGAGAGCGGAGTGCAGTTCCCCCTCCCAGCTCCTCAGCTAGTGGCGCACAGCTGGCTGTGTCTTTCTTTTCTTTTTTTTTTGGCCACATGGCATGCGGGACTTGGCGGGGGGATCGAACTGGGGGCGAACCCGCGCCCCCTGCAGTGGAAGTGTGGAGTCTTAACCATGTGACTGCCAGGGAAGTCCCCAGCAGTGCCTTTAAAAGTGAGCACCTGTCTGCCCGGGCAAAAAAAATGAAAGCAGGTTTTGCTGAAAGGAGCAGGGCCGGCTAATGTGCGCTGGGGGAACGAGGATGTAGGAAAATAATTCCTCAACTTCCACTGCCGCTGTGAGGGCAGTGGGCTCGGAGAGAGGCCCCCAGCCTCATCCCCAAGTCAGAGTGCATGGCAAGGACCCTCTCACGCTCGCTCGGGCAGGAGGGCTCACGAGAATCGCACGCGCACGCAAGCCTCGTCCCACAGGCCCTCCTCCCAGGTGCCACAAATCCTTCCCGCCGCCCCTAGAGGCCTAGAGTTTAAGTTGAAGCACCAGTTCCACTCGCATCTCTAGAAGGTTCCTCAAGGCTAGGGAATAAGAATGGAGGTTTCCCCATTGGCTCAAAGGTTGAGCCGCGACAGCAGCAAAGTTCAAGTCCATCCGAGTGGACTTCACCACAGCACTAACAATAATAACAGCAATGATGATAAAGCAACGACCATATGCTGGGCTGACAACGAGACAGACGCTGCCCCACGCTCTGCCTGGGCCTTACTTCACTTGACCTTCAAACAACCCTGAGGGAGGTATTAGTAAGAACCCCAATTTATAAATAAAGAAGCATGCTCAGAGAAAAGAGGCCTGTTAAAAGTTAGAGTGGAAGTAAGTGACAGAGCTGAGGTTTGAACCCACATCTGTCGGCCTCCCTCCCCA